TTAATGAATCATGTATTTTCAAGGTTTGGACTTCCCCTTAGGGTGAACTCGGACCAAGGTACACACTTCACAGGTGAAGTAATGAAGGAACTGTGGAAGACGCTAGGCGTCAAAGCCAACTTCCATATTGGCTACCACCCACAGGCTTCAGGCCAGGTTGAGAGAGCAAACAGGACGGTGGTGAGTATTTTGAAAAAATACGTAGCCGCAAACCACAAGGACTGGGACGTGAAACTCCCTCTGGTCCTCATGGCCATAAGGGCCACTCCACACACGTCGACTGGCATCGCTCCTTTCGAGATGATGACGGGTCGACAAATGACTCTCCCTCTGCACCTGTTGTACCAACCAGGCGATGCTGCCATGGCAACAGCCTACACCACACAACAATACATGAAAGACTTGGAAAGACACCTTAAGAACACTTTTGCTTTCGCACAGAAAAACCTGGAAAAATCAGCTGAAGGACGCAAAGCGTACTACGACCAAAAGGCCTCTTACGAGGAACTCCAAGTGGGAGACAGGGTCTGGTACTACACGTTTGCACCCAAAACTGGGAGAGTAGAGTCCGGGACCGGAACTCTCGCCCGTAAGCTGATGCCCAGATGGACTGGACCCCATCTGATAACCGACAAAGTGTCTCCAATTATCTACCAGATTAAAATCAGTAAAGGCCAAAAAGAGCCAACTGTTAAATGGGTACATCGTAACCAGATTAAACAACACAAGGCGTGCAATAACTCCTTAGGAGACAAAGACATCACAAAATCTGACCTCGTGGGAACAAGGGTCATCCCTGTAGAAGATAACTAATGGATAATAAACTTAACCATAGTTTAAACTCACAGGACCTACCCTTGATAAAACGGGACAGCGTGACTGAAATCTGGCAACCAGGGTGAGGAGAAGCTGTGAAACGATGTTTCTAGATGCTTAGTCACTACTCTTGTCGGTGTTGGAACGTTGTTTAGTTGATTTTGGTTGTTTCTGAGGTAAGAATGAATCTTGTGTGTAGTTAAGTTAGAGACTAAGAGGCCTTTAACCATGCCAACATGCAGTTCATTCACTAAATTGCAATCTTTGCGGAGTCAATGTATATTATTGCTACTTTGAGTACCATAATCTACATTGAGCTCACAACGCTTAAGCCGAACCTACTCGAACAATTCTATTCGGGGGGATAGCTAATTCTTTTTGATAAGTCTCGCCATAGACTTCCAAAACATTTATGGGAAAACCAAACACCCAATCTCAAGTCGTTCGTCTAAAGGACAACAGACAATTACACCAAACTATATTTTACCATGTAAAGCTAACTTAAACCAAGTTAGAAATGGAAAAATAGTTTGGAACACTTTTTCTATAGGCATAAACCCCTGTAGTACCCCTTTTCAGCATTCTCCACCCCTTAACTGGTAGTTGTAGCTGTTCCCAACCATAATAGCTTACACACCAGATGCATATAGTTTAAGGCCTTATGTAAAATCCCCTTCATAAGCCCACCTTAAACCACATAATTGCATGACACATTGAACCAGAACGGCACAGGCTGGACGTCGCTGGAGACAACCTTCGCTGGAGGCGACCTGCAATCCTGACGTTGGTCTCCACTCTTCATCCAGTGGCCGCTTCTTCAGTTCAACCCAAGGGTACCCCTCTGTATGCTGATTAATCAACACTTCCAATCGCTGTGGATTTACCGTTGTGGATTATATGACTTTTTCAATGGATTACAGACTCTGTTTCCAAGGGGTTAAAGCATTGCTACAATGGAATTATCGAGACGATATGGGATTATAATCAACACAATGGAATACCAAGAACATTGTGGAATTACCTTGACTTTGTTTCCTTGCTGGATTACTTCTGACTTTGGTCTTCCTTGCTGGATTACTTCTGACTTTGGTCTTCCTTGCTGGATTACATCAAGCTCAAGGACATTTGAAGGTCTAAGTTCACGGTTGGAATTCATCTCCATGGACAGGTGATGATTTCCAAAGGGGGGACTGTAGTGAACCAGATGACCTGATGATCTGACCCTCATCTGACCCTGATGACCTCAAATCTACCAGATGGACAGAGACTGTTATTTTCATTGATCTGAATAAGTCTGAGCCATCTGATGACTTTCTTTCTTGAATTAATCAAGCAGAAAAGACAATCCTCTATAATCATTACTGTTTTACAAATGTTTTGATAATCAAATTGTGTTAGTTTCACTCAATGCTTACAGGTTGAAAAGAAATACTCATTTTTATTTTACATAAACAGTAAGTAATGATTTTTATTCCTCATTCAAAGAAGAAATCACCTGAATATGCATTTCTTGATTTTCTGTCTGAAATGAGCCAAGTCGTAAGTGTGTGAAAGTTGAAGCTTCGGTCAACTAAATGTTTACTGAAGAAGAAATGTCATGTTTAACTATTTGAGAAGATAATCAGAATAGAGGCTCCAAAAAGTCTGGTATTTTGCAATAATCTTTTCTGTATGTTGAAAACAAATTCATTCCCTGACCTCGACTTTTGATAAACACCTTACGTCAAAACCACTCCTCTTTCTGGTCCATCCACGAATCAGAAAGCTCTAAAGTAAACCCGGAAGTAAACTCATTTAAAATGTGAGAACTTCCCGGTTCTGTTAGAGAGTTGGAATGGTGAAGAGTGCAGTTAGTTCTCAAGGAGTTCAGAAGAGAATTCAGTTATGGAGAGTTTTGGAGTTGGAGTCTGAGAAGATCTGAAAGAGTCTGAGAGCTGCTGACAATGAAGAGTCAGAGTTGCCGAGAATCCAGAGACGTTTTGGGATTATAATTCTGTTTTGAACTAACCACGCACGACTCTCCAAGGATTTTAGCTGTTCTCAACGGAGATGCTGATATCAGTCTGAAGGGTTCTTACTGAGGTGATCTATCGTCAACAAGGTAACGGTTTCTTCTTCGACTAAAGTGTACCTGGGATAAGCTGAGATACCTGATGGGAGCGTGCAATTTCTGGTCAAACAGATTAAATTCCCTCACATATTCCTCTGTAAGATAAATCTCAATTTCCTCTTAAACTCACCTCTCTCTCATAAATCAGTACAGATATTTTTAGAAATATCTGAAGCAAAGTCCTCAAATCACCGCCGAGTGATTTGAAGTTCATTATTTGTGAAACTGTCTGTTATTATTTTCATATTTTGCCAAATTAATGTAAATGTTTGATGTTAAACTTTGATTCTGAAAATAAATGACTCCATTCATTTGATGGGTCAAAGATAATAACGTCTCTCGTTCGCATTTCTGTTAAATTCAATGCACGGCATTACACAGTCAGAAAAATGAAGAACTCGTGAAAAGTATGCATAAATATATACCACATATATTTGTCATACAACAAGTGACACGTACCTACGTGACTCACTACACGTGGGTCACTGGAGCCCCACTCTGGAGCTGGGCCTTGAGGTGGGGCACGCTGGCAAGTGCCTGGTGCCCGGGCTTTTACCCATGGAGCCTAGCCGGGTACAGCCCAAAAAGGAGACATGGGTCCCCCTTCCCATGGGCTCACCACCTGTGGGAGTCACCACCTGTGGGAGGGGCCAAAGGGGTCGGGTGCAATGTGGGATGGGTGGTGACCGAGGGCGGGGACCCTGGCGGTCTGATCCTCAGCTACTGAAGCTGGCTATTAAGACGTGGAATATCACCTCTCTAGTGGGGAAGGAGCCTTAGCTGGTGTGTGAGGTTGAGAGGTTCTGGTTAGAAATAGTCGGACTCACCTCAACGCATGGCTCTGGCTCTGGAACCAGTTTCCTTGAGAGGGGTTGGACACTCTTCCACTCTGGAGTTGCCCCTGGCGAGAGGCGCCGAGCAGGAGTGGACATACTTATTGCCCCACATCTTGGTGCCTGTACGTTGGGGTTCACCCCGGTGAACGAGAGGGTAGCCTCCCTCCACCTACATGTGGGAGGATGGGTTCTGACTGTCATTTGTGCTTATGTGCCAAACAGCAGCTCAGATTACCCACCCTTTTTTGAGTCCTTAGATGGGGTACTGGAGAGTGCACCTCCTGGGGGCTCCTTTGTTCTACTGGGGGACTTCAACGCTCACATGGGCAATGATAGTGAGACCTGGAAGGGTGTGGTTGGGAGGAATGCCCCCCCCCCGATCTGAACCCGAGTGGTGTTCTGTTGTTGGACTTCTGTGCTCATCATGGATTGTCTATAACGAACACAATGTTCAAGCATAAGGGTGTCCATATGTGCTCTTGGCACCAGGACACCCTAGGCCGCAGCTCGATGATCGACTTTGTTGTTGTCTCATCTGATCTGCGGCCGCATTTCTTGGACACTCGGGTGAAGAGAGGGGCGGAACTGTCCACTGACCACTACCTGGTGGTGAGTCGGCTCTGATGGTGGGGGAGGATGCCGGTCAGACCTGCCAGACCCAAACGTATTGTGAGGGTCTGCTGGTAACGTCTGACAGAGTCTCCCATGAGACAGAGCTTTAACTCCCACCTCCGGGAGAGCTACGAACACGTTCCGGGGGAGGCGGTGGACATTGAGTCGGAGTGGGCCATGTTCCATGCCTCTATTGTCGAGGCGGCTTATCAGAGCTGTGGTTGCAAGGTTGTCAGTGCCTATCGTGGCGGAAATCCTCGAACCCGGTGGTGGACACCGGCGGTGAGCGATGCTGTCAGGCTGAAGAAGGAGTCCTATTGGGCCTTTTTGACCTGTGGGACCCCGGGAGCAGCTGATGGCTACTGGTGGTCCAAGCGGCATGCGGCTTGGGTGGTCACTGAAGCAAAAACCCAGGCATGGGAGGAGTTCAGAGAGGCCATGGAGAATGACTTCCATACAACTTCGAGGCGATTCTGGTCCACCACCTGGCATCTTGGGGGGGGGGGGGGGTACGCCACCAACACTGTTTATAGTGGAGGTGGTGTGCTACTGACCTCAACTCGGGATGTCGTGGGTCGGTGGGCAGAGTACTTTGAAAACCTCCTCAATCCCACTGGCACGTCTTCCACTGAAGAAGCGGAGTCTGGGAACTTTGGGTTGGGCTCTCCAATCTCTGGTGCTGAGGTCACCGAGGTAGTTAAAAAGTTCCTCGGTGGCAAGGCCCCAGGTGTGGATGAGATTCGCCCGGAGTTCCTAAAGGCTCTGGATGTTGTGGGGTTGTGTTGGCTTACATGACTCTGCAATATTGCGTGGACATCGGGGGCAGTTCCCCTGGATTGGCAGACTGGGGTGGTTGTCCCCCTATTCAAAAAGGGGGGCCGTAGAGTGTGTTCCAACTACAGGGGGATCACGCTTTTAAGCCTCCCTGGTAAGGTCTATTCTGGGGTTCTGGAGAGGAGGGTCTGTCGGATAGTCAAACCTCAGATTCAGGAGGAACAGTGCAGTTTTCGTCCTAGTCGTGGAACACTGGACCAGCTCTACACCCTCAGCAGGGTCATGGAGGGTGCGTGGGAGTTTGCCCAACCAGTCTACATGTGCTTTGTGGACTTGGAGAAGGCATTCGACCGCGTCCCTCGGGGAGCCCTGTGGGGGGTACTCTGGGAGTATGGCGTACCAGGCCCTTTGACACGGGCTATTAGGTCCCTGTACGACCGGTGTCAGAGCTTGGTCTGCATTGCCGGCAGTAAGTCGGGCTCGTTCCCAGTGAGAGTTGGACTCCGCCAATGTTGTCTTTTGTCACAGATTCTGTTCATAGCTTTTATGGACAGAATTTCTAGGCGCAGCCAAGGTGTTGAGGGGATCCGTTTTGGTGGCCTTAGGATCGCTTTTCTGTTTTTTGCAGATGATATGGTCCTATTGGCTTCATCAAGTCATGATCTACAGCTTTCGCTGGAGCGGTTTGCAGCCAAGTGTGACATGGCTGGGATGAGGATCAGTTCCTCCAAATGGCCATGGTCTTGAGCCGGAAAAGGGTAGAGTGCCCTCTCCGGATCGGGGAGGAGGTCCTGCCCCAGGTGGAGGAGTTCAAGTATCTCGGCATCTTGTTCACAAATGGGGGAAAAATGGAGCGTGAGATCGATAGGCAGATAGGTGCAGCGTCGGCAGTGAAGCAGGCTCTGTACTGGTCTGTTGTGATGAAGAGAGAGCTGAGTCAAAAGGCGAAGCTCTCAATTTACCGGTCGATCTATGTTCCTACCCTCATCTATTGTCATGAGCTTTGGGTTGTGACTGAAAGAATGAGATCACGGATACAGGCGGCCGAAATGAGTTTTCTCCGCAGGGTGTCTGGGCTCTCCCTTAAAAATAGGGTAAGAAGCTCGGTCATACGGGAGGGACTCAGAGTAGAGCAGCTACTTCTTCACATCGAGAGGAGCCAGTTGAGGTGGCTCGGGCATCTGGTTAGGATGCCTCTTGGACGCCTCCCTGGTGAGGTGTTCCAGGCACGTCCCACCGGGAGGAGACCCAGAGGAAGACCCAGGACACGCTGGAGAGAATATGTTTCTCGGCTGGCCTGGGAACGCCTTGGGATTCCCCTGGAGGGGCTGGCCCAAGTGGCTGATGAGAGGGAAGTCTGGGCCTCCCTACTTAAGCTGCTACCCCTGCGACCCGACCCCGGATAAGCGGAAGAAAATGTATGTATGTATGTATATATATATATATATATATATATATATATATATATATATATATAT